TTACCCTGCAAGTTAGATATAAAAAATCCATCCACTAGGACAGCCTCTCAGATGTTTGAGGCAGAAAAAAAAAATCAAACCCCTGACTTCACATACACAAAGAGACAAAGCCAGAGAATGAATGGATTTAGAGCTGAATTATATTCATCACCTCTTCATAATATCTCAAGCATGACTGACAAAAAGTATGTGGAATGTAATTATACTGGTCCCCAACACATCGCCTTGGACATTTAAATGATACTAATACATACTTAGTGCTTTATTGTTGGTTTATGCTCCATAAAAATATCTGATTTAAATATCAGTGAAGTTTTTGAATTATTATTGTACTGCAATTTTTAAATGTATATTTAGAGTTGATTATTCTATGACAACTTAATTTTCCATATCTTTACTTCTTCAAAGTATCATGCTAGCATGAAAATGGTGGTTGCAAAATATCTATTCGTACAAACCACTCATCACTTTACATTTGCAGGTTTCTCCCCAGTGTGCATTCTCTGATGTGCAGAGTGATTTGACTTCCGGTTAAACAGTTGGCCACATTCTTCACATTTTGAACATTTCACTCTTACATGAATTCTCCGATGTTCAGCATGTTTTGACTTCTGCTTAAAGGCTTTGCTGAATTCTTCACGTTTATAAGCTTTTTCTTTCACATTTGCATGAATTCAGTGACTATGAGCAAGACTTGACTGCTGGTTAAAGACTTTCCCAAATTCTTCACATCTGTAGGTTTTCTCAGCATTATGAACTCTCTGGTGTTCAGAAAGGTGACACAGGTAGAGAAAGGCTTTACCACAGTGTGGACATGTGTAAGCCTTTTCTCCAGTATGAATCCTTACATGTTTCGTGAGCTGTGGATGCCAACAAAAGGCTTTACCACACTCTTCACATTTGTGCCATTTCTCTCTCTGATGTTGAGTGAGTCTTGAGCACCATTTGTTAGTGTTGCCATATCCTTTACAGTTGCAGGGATTCTCTTGAAATGTGTGATGTAGGAGTAGTTTTGAGGACTCCTCAGTATGATCCCATGTAGATTTTTTTATCTTCCCATTCGCATTTCTGATGTTGAGTACTATTTGACTCAAAGTATACAACTGTCCCATATTCACAATGTACTGAATGATTATTGCATAATGGACTATGGGACTGCCTATATGTTCTAACTGTCTTCTCAGAGAATATGTATTATTAAAAATATGATAGAGATCTCTGCTTACAGTAACACCCTTATCTATGCAAGGAACAGACATAAAATGTGGCTTGACCCAAGACATTTCACACACATGATCTCTTCTTGTGGGAAGAGTTGTATTCTGGGTCATTGTTCCAGCTTGGCTATCTTCATTACAACAAATGTTCCCACCCTTCAATGGATCTTTGGCATGTCTGGTCTTCCACTAATTGTAAATTCTCAAAGGCACAGATTCCATCTCCTCCCAGTTCCATATCTGGAAGCAAATATTCTGTGCCTGACTATGGCATGAGGACTTGGATGTCATGAGAAGAGATGACTGGAAGAAAGCAAGTGACTATTTACCACATTTACAGCACTCAAGACAAAATACATTAAATGCATGGTCTATAAAATTAATATCAAGTAAAGGACATAGGCATGATGTTAGAATAGGTAACACTATGACTTTGCTCTGCCTATAAAGCCAAAAGGATAGTAGATAGCAACACAAAAGTTTATGAAAAGGTACTGTCCTTAGGGAAAGGTAAATACAAAGAAAATATACAAAATTGCATGATACAGTCCTGTAGTAAAAATATTGATTCTGCTTGAGCATTTGGAAAGGCCACATCAAAAATACCCATGGAATTATGTTCTGGAATTCACAACGTAGTGAGATGTTGTGATGGCAACAATGTTGGTGGAGGGTAGGAATGTTAAAGTATTGATTTTCGTGTGTGCAATTGAAATTATATTATTTTCAGTCTAAAAGGTTTCATAGCTTTCAATATGGCATGTAATGCACTTTATAACAATAAAGACACCAGGAGAACACATGGGAGGGAAATGAACACGGAACATGATGTCCTGTGCACACAGGCTAGATGACAATACTGTACACAATAAATAGTATTATGAATCAATATACCTCACTAAGCATAAAAAATATGATGACACATTAGACAAAAATCACCAGACAAAAAAGGAGAAAGGAATAAAAACATGTCACACAAAGTCAAAGAAACACAGAAATGCAATCAAGAGGAAATGAGGTATGAAAAAGGCTGATCATAAAGGAAACATTTTTAAATAACAATACCTGGGCCTCCCTTTCTGTAATTTGTTTGTTCATAAATGAAAAAAAAAAATTCCACACTGAAATGACAATGTGTCTGAATGAATAAGAAAACAACACCAATACAATTTTATCCACATCATACCCACTAAAGATTTAAGTGCATCATGAGGAATGGAAGATGGAACTATATGATGGGAAAAGTGATAATCAAATATGGAGCTATGTTCAACACACTAATATCAGAATAATATAAACTGAGTCAAAACCATCACAGCATGTAAAGAAGATCACAACAATAGAAAATGACATATTTTGGGTAGTCATTAAAAATATTCCACATGCACTAACGTGAGGTCGCTGAATGTGTACAGACCACACAGGCAGGACTGAATGCAGAAGAGGAAGACAATACAATTCTAGGAGAGGTTCCAGCCCCAACTGCGATTAGAAGGAAAATAATGATGTAAGTTCAAGAAGGTGAGTTGACCACTAGGGCCAAATTTAAATCTGAAAGCAAAATGCAGTTCACATACACGATAGAGTAGAGACAGCTAAGCTATAAAAAAGGATGAACTCAGGCTATTTGCAAGAACAGGATGGAACATAGCAGGAGCATAGCTAATGTAGAAAATCAGGAGAAAGACATTTGCTGGATCGCTTCATTCCAATTTCAAATCTGGAGGAAAAAGGAAAGGAACCGACAAACCAGAACAAACTCTAGAAATATGACTGCAGAATTGTGGGTATTAGAGAGGGATGGAGAGTGGGTGTGGGTACAGAGGTGGGAGGTGTTCAAAGATCTATGGAGAAGGCCCACAAGTGAACTGGTGGTGAGTGTGGTGGTGGCAGACCTTTGAGAAGATGAAACTCTATTTCCTAAATCAAATGTTACCTCAATTCAAAAAATTAAAGAATATATTGAAAATATGGAGATGAAACAAATTTCCCCAAAACTGTGGACTCAGAAAATGATAAGATGTAAATTTCAAGCACTGACACACTAACAATAACACGTATCTTAAATTAACTCCACAACTCAAGAAACTAGAAAAGGAACAATCTAAACTCTAAATTTCCAAAAGAAGGACATTTCAAAATAAAGAAGAATACATAAATGTAACACGATGGCAAAATGTTTGGGCTTCTCTATGAACAGAAGTCTGGAATTTGAAAAAAACAATAAATTTAACAAAATGATAGTTTAATTCACTAGAAAGGAAAGGCACAAGACCAAGAAAAACAGAAGTGAAACCCATAAAGATATTTCCTTAGTTTTTATGTCTCCTCGGCACTGGCTACAGTCATCTGTAGACGTTTTCAAAGGCATGTACTTCCCTTCATGGCAGGGAGAGTCCTTGCTGTCAATTCTTATTTAAATGTTATATCACACACTGCTCAGAATGACAGCATATGCAGCAAATGCTGCCTCATCTTGTGTCCAACTTTCTCCTGCTCATCGAAGGGAAAAAAGTTCTGCATCCAGCCCGTGGGTCGTCACTGTGAAAGGCTTTCTGCACATCCTTCTGACATCAACACTCCTTGGCTGCTACTGGAGTCACTGCAATACTTGGTACCTGTTTCTACGTAATTCATAGCAGCTCAAGTTTTTATCTAGTATGTTAGTTGTACTATATCATCCTTTCACAGATGCTTTTGCTTTCTTCCAGATGATTCCCACAAGAAGGTGGAATTGCACAGATCAAACTCCTCCCAAGGTATGAGCCCCCAACCTGAAAACTCTGGTTCCATGGCTTTAGAAACCACAACCTTAGGTTTCCCCTCCCATGTCAGAACATCCGTCCCTCACTGAATGATTTCTGGGTTCTCCTCAGCCTCACAAAGGCTGACTGAAATCCACTGCTGAGGGGAGCAGCAGATGAGACAGAGAGGTCTGCCGTGCCATGTGTATAGCTCCTGGCCGGTCGGGCATGGAACTCATGCTGCAGAGGCCACAGATAGCTTCACAGTGCTGTGCTTAACCCTTGCACCACCAGGGAGACCCACATTTTCCTTTCTCACAGCATATCACTTCAACAAAACAAAGAATACTTCCATGATTACTGTTCTTATCCTCACTCATAGATAATTTATCACTGTCAAAAACTTCCCATTAACATACTGAGTGAAAAAAACAAATGTCTGGGGCCTCCCCAGTGGCACAGCGGTTGAGCGCTGGGTTGCAAAGCTTCCCGCAGCCTCTGCAGCGCTGGTTCGATCCCGGCTGCTACCCAGCCACCGGAGGAGGGTCTCATATGGCGCGCAACTCCTGTGCCCGCTGCTCCCTCAGCTGTGTACTTCGGTCCTTCGCCTGCTCTGCTCCCTTGCTCTGGCTCTGGTGAATTGTCTCACCCTCCTGCACTTCTGATTTACCCAGTGCTTGTATAAATTAATATAATTAATTAATTAATATATTATCATATATAAAAAATGCCTGAATACGTACCTTAAAGAAAACAGTCAGTGAGAATAAACTAATAGAACACAGAAAATGTGACTACTGCAGAATAATTTCCTGCAGTATCAGTGACTGCATACTGGTGAAATCCAACATTGACAACGTTTAAAAAAAGAGCAGGGGTAAATCTAGGAGAGAGCTTCTGGAAACTGAATAAAGAATCACTTCGATAAATGCAGATAAACTCCAAGGTTTGGACACTGAAAAGTAGCGCAGTGTGGCCAATATCACTGGCCACTCTCCCAGCCTCCTGCTAGCCTCCTGCCAGGCAAGCACTGACTGACCTGAGAGGTTCTGGCTTGGGGCTTCCTCCACAGTCCATGGCTGTACTCCCCTTCTCCAACCTGATGCTCTCCTCAGGATCGATAACACAATGCCTGTGATGAGGAAAAGTGTTGGTTTGGTCAAGTTAAACTTCAGTTTTGAAGACTAACGAAGCGCGTTAAGAGCTGTGCAACGAAGGTCACCTGGAACTTTTCAGGAAATAGGGCAACCACCACACAATCTAGTCTGTTTGCCATGTTCAACCTCACCACCCAATTTTCACAAAGAAAGACCACACTAAATCAGTGTAGAAACAGCACTTGAACTTGTGTTACACTGGAGCGTCCTCACAGAGGGACACCAGGTGACTGCAGGTCTCCAGCATCACATCCCAGTACAGGATCCTCTGAGCATCATTCAGGTCTTCCACTCCTGCCAGGGGAAGTTCACAGCCACGTCCTCCAATGACACCATCTCCTGTGAGGGAACATTTCTCCTCATTTCAGGGCGTCAGCCTGGATCACACAGCAACAGTGTACACGCTCCTTCTTGTGCTCTTGTACAGGAGGCACCATCTTCCTACTCACACTGTTTTGTGAACAGAATTCTCAGGGGAAATAGTCTTACCTCTAGATTAACCCATTTGCTCCTAAAAAGAACACAATAGTTTACCATACAAATTTGGAAGTGTCTTTGAGTCTATGAATACAAGGATGAATAAAATCTTCTCCTTGAAGAGCTTATCAACTGGTTGGCAGTTAGAATAAACAACTACGTGGGAATAACGTGCTATGCTAGCGGTGTAAAAAAGCCTTGAATGGCAGACACGGTACAAGAGAAGAAAACCAACACTTTGTACTGTTGGTTACACGTCACTGAAGACCCAAACGCTTAGCTCTTCCTTGTAATCCACACTGTCATGAGGAGAGACAACAGCAGATGTCACAGAGTGAGAAAATAAAAAACACTCGCCATGATAACTGACCTGCAGAGAGCATGCTGCCAGGCAGAGTCCCCAGCAGGAAGGCAGGAGAGACAGTGAAAGTATTCTGGAACTGAAGTCAGTCAGCTTTTATGAACTGTGGGACATGTGAGCTGAATTCACCAGAATAGAAGGATATGTGGGGTCTCCCTGGGGGCCAAGGAGTGAAGCACCTCAGATCTGCCTTTTCTGCTCCCCACTCTGTCTCTGATGAGTCCGCTCACCCCCGGCACCTCTGGCCTGGACCCACCTCTTATATTCATACATAAATAAAAATGAATCTTTTAAATAATCAAGCTTGAAGGGGAGTTAGGTATTTGGGGGAAATATACTCACTGGGCAACAGGCTGAGCCCACAAGCAGGACTGGAGCGACAGGCCCGGCACAGGAAGGTGAGGGCCACGGCCTCCCTCGTCACCAGGTGAGTATCATGGAGGACAAAAAAGACAGGGGCAGTTGATAGGTAAAATTTCCATCTGGTAATTACCAAGAGGCTGAGCTGACCCAGCACGTGCATTAATCGGATGCAGGGGTGTGATCCTGTGTGGACCCTGGGGAGGACATTTGAGGCTCTACAGGTGCCTCTGTGACAGGAGGATTACATTTACTGGGCGTTCCTGGGAGTCAGATGGAGGGGCTCCGACAGGCTGGTGAAGGTTGCCCTTTTGTGAGACTCATTTCCACGAATAAGAGACATCCCCGTGAGAGAGGCGTCCAGGTTCTCACGTTGGAGGATTTGTCCAAATCTCTCCATCCCTCATCAGAGGGGGAGGCGGCCCCTTAGGACCGCACCCCCGTACCTTGTAGCTGGGCTTCCCACTGCCCCCCAGGACTGACCCTTCCTCTGTCCTTTCTCTGGGGTTGAAGATGTCATTGCATAGGGGGCAGAGGCATGTTGGTGGGTCACTCAATGTTCCTGGGTCTTCCCCAGGTGTGCGAGGAGGTGTCCTCAAGTGTATTTTCTCCCACTGATGCCCTTTATTCCGGGAAGGTCTCCATGGAGAACCTGCAGGGTAGATGAGATGACGTTTCCTCCTCCCACGATCCCAGCACAGACCCGGAGGAGTATACAGAGGGGAGACAGGAGGTGCCTCATGGCAAACCCGAAGGGAAGGGTTGACCCAGGTTGGGAGTCCTCACGCGTGCTGGGAATCCAGGGCAAAGCCCCCCAACGAGCAGAGAGAAAAGGGACCTTAAAGGCATTACCCCAGGAGCGAGAGGAGGGAAAGCCGAGGGAAACGAGGAAAGGAAGTTGCACGACAGCAGCAGGGGCAGTGACAGGGGCAGACCAGAGGCACCCTGAGACCCCAGACCCTGCGCACCTCCACCGGCGCTGCCATCTGCTGCGTGCGGTGCAAACACCCCTCACTGTGAAAGGCCCTGCCGTGGAAAACAGGGTTGGGGGTGCAAGGGAGAGGAGAAAGACAGGGTTAAACAGTTTCCAGGCAAAGCCTCCCGGGCTGTGGGGTCAGTCCCATGACCCCCACAGTGATGACCCCAGCTTTGGGCACCGCCTGCCACATCCTCTCTGCAAGTCCCCCCTCCAGGGGCTGTGGGGGGAGCGGACACACCTGACCTGCCCTCAGGCTCCTGAGTTTTCGGGGACTTGCTGTCGGGTCTCCTCCCTCTCGCATGTCTGTCCTGGAATGGACCTGGCCCAACAAGGGGCCTAAGCCACGGGGATCTCTGTCCCCCCACCCCCTCCTCTTTCAGTCCTGCCCATGCTGCAGAGTGATTCCTAGACCCACTGCGGGGAATTCCTGAGGGCAAACACCTGCCCAAGAGGGCGGCATTCTGCACGGGAGTCTCCAGCTCGCCAGGAGGTCACGGGAATGGGGGGGGGAGACCCCAGCAGGCGGCACCTCCATGCACCCCTCCACCTGCAAGGGAGCAGAATAGCCCCCC